AGGCGGAGAGTTCTCCTCTAGCCATCTACGAGCCTACTCTCGTGCCAGACCTTTACGCTTCCGGACTCTCCACAGCAAAATGAGATTGCTGAGCGCCGCATTGGCATGGTCATGGACGTCGCTCGTACGTCCATGATGCATGCGGCTGCCCCCCATTTTCTGTGGCCGTTTGCGGTTCGGTACGCGGCGCATCAGATCAACCTTCACCCAAGGGTCTCCCGGCCGGAGACCTCCCTAGCTCTGCTGTGGACGGGGAAGGTCGGCGATGCGTCTGCGTTCCGTGTCTGGGGATCTCGGGCGTTTGTCCGGGACTTGTCTGCGGACAAGCTGTCCCCTCGTGCTGCTCCCTGTGTCTTCCTTGGCTTCCCCCCTGACGCACCAGGGTGGCAGTTCTACCACCCCTCTTCTCGTCGTGTTCTGTCCTCCCAGGACGTCACGTTCGACGAGTCAGTCCTCTACTACCGCCTCTTCCCCTACCGCACTCCTTCCCTCCCCCCGCCACCGCACTTCCTTGTGCCAGGTCCCCCCCCGGTAGACCCCCTTCCCCCTCAGGGTCCTGCCCCTTCAAGTGTGTCCCAGGTAGACGCAGTCGAGCCGGTCGAGGTTGCTGGTGACTCTGGTACTGCTGCGGGTGCTGAGCATGGGGGTGCTGACTCTGAAGGTGTTGCGCGCGAGGGTGCTGAGCCTAGGGGTGCTAAATCTGGGGGTGCTACGACTGGGGGTGCTGAGCCTGGGGGTGCTACGACTGGGGGTGCTGAGCCTGGGGGTACTGCGACTGGGGGTGCTGAGCCCGGGGGTGCTATGATTGGGGGTGCTTCCCCCCTGACGCTCCAGGGTGGCAGTTCTACCACCCCTCCTCTCGTCGTGTTCTGTCCTCCCAGGACGTTACGTTCCACGAGTCAGTCCCCTTCTACCGTCTCTTCCCCTACCGCACTCCTTCCCTCCCCCCGCCGCCACACTTCCTTGTGCCAGGTCCCCCCCCGGTAGACCCCCTCCCCCCTCAGGGTCCTGCCCCTTCAGGTGTGTCCCAGGTTGACGCAGTCGAGCCGGTCGAGGTTGCTGGTGACTCTGGTACTGCTGCGGGTGCTGAGCTTGGGGGTGCTGACTCTGGGGGTGCCGTGCGCGTGGGTGCTGAGCCTGGGGGTGCTGCATCTGGGGGTGCTGAGCCTGGGGGTGCTGAGCCTGGGGGTGCTGAGCCTGGGGGTACTGCCACTTGGGGTGCTGAGCGTGAGGGTGCTGAGTCTGGGGGTGCTACGTCAGGAGCTGCTGAGCCTGGGGGTGCTTCGTCTGGAGCTACTGAGCCTGGAGGTGCGGAGCCTGCGGCCGCTGGACCTCCCCTTGTGGCGTCTGGCGGTGCTGGGCCTGGAGGTTCTCCTGGTGCTTCGTCTCGGCGGGTGCCACTCTCTCCACAGGAGTTGCGCGAGTGGTTTGCTCGGTGCTGGAGGCGTACTGCTGGAGCTGGAGCTTCTTCGGCTGCTGAGGGTGCTGGTGCCGCCGGTCCCGGATGTGCTCGTCCTGGGAGTGCTAGAGCTGCTGGGCCTGCGGGTCCGGCTGGAGCTGCTGAGGGTGTTGTCCCTGAGACTACTGCTGTCAGTCCTGCGCCTCTTTCCGCGCCACCCCCCTCCCCCCCCCCCCCCCCCCCCTGCCCTTCTCCTTGCCCCAGCCTCTCCTCTCCCCCTCGCCTCGCTTTGCCCTCTCTCCCCTCGCCATACCTCCCCCTCCCGCTATCGCGCCCGCGCCCGTTTTCGCGCCCGCCACCCTTCTTGCGTTCGCACCCGCTCTCGCGCCCGCTCCCGCGCCCACTCTCGGACTCTCCTAGCGCCCTTCGCTTTTTACTTGTCGCCAGCCCCTGCCCTCCAACCTTCCGACCGCCCGTCCGATAAAGCTCCGCTACGCAGGGAGGAGCAGTTGGAAAAGGGACGAAGCAGCAATGGGCCTTTCCTTCCTGGGAATTGGCAACGGGCAAGCGCCGCGCGATGGCGAACCCAGCTATCCCAGACCTTCCGTCAAAGGCGACTAGAACCCCCTATAGGACAACCGGAGTTGTCATTGGATCGAAAACACTGGAAAAACGGTGTGCCTCCTGGATCATAATCAAACCAGGCAGATGGATGAGGTTTGCAAGCCTCGAGTTGTAACGGGACCGAGCGGGGACATCGGCCTGGTGGGAGGGAACCCTAAAGCCGTACACGAGCAAGATGCCCCAACCTCACAAAAGAGGAACATTTAATACAGCGAACACCAACGCCTGTCTTGTCCCGTCCATTTGGTGAAACATGGTAACTCCACTTGTGCCGGCGATGCATCACTCAACTTTCTGCTCTATTGAGTTATGATGGTAGGATATAGGCATAGCACGGTGGTAACGGGTTGGCAAAAAAACATGCGTCAATTCCGGATAGGGAGCCCGAGAAACGGGTGCCACATCAAAGGATGGTAGCAAGCAAAATGCCCAATCCAGGAAGAAAAGGGAGGGCTGTGACAAGAAACAACAATACATGGGCCTTCCGAGATGGTGGGATTGTAATGTCGAATTGTGATCCATTTGCGAGCATGGGGCGTGCTCTCAAACCACGTTTCATTTCCCAAACCTACCGTGGCAGCGAGTGACATACGAGGGGAAGGCTGGTGCCAGCATATGCGGTAAAGTCAGACTCACTATGGTATACTCAGGTCAGGGTTGGGAGCCGCGGACGGACGGCCCGCACAACGTCGCCGTCACCACTCTATTTGCTGGGCTTAAACCCCCACGAGGCAAAGAGGGCTTGAGAAACTTTGGCTGGATGGAACAGCAGTCACAGATGATGGGCTGCAGCGTCATGGACAACAACTGAGCCGATGAAAGGGATGATGCAACATGATCGACTCCATCACCATGGCTTGTCCGGTCCGTTTGGTGGAACACGGGACCTCCACAGGTCGCATGCCTTGTGCCGGCACCGCATCATTCACTATTTTGCACTATCAGCTTTCGATGGGTTGTTATAGGCATGCCATGGTGGTAACGGGTGTCAGAGAATGAGGGCTCGGTTGCGGACAGGGTGCCTGAGAGACGGGCACCCTCCTTCTTCGAGCGTGCCCAAAGCGAAAATTTATGGATGTTTCACGTTCATAATGTCCCAACCTTGCAGTCAGCTGTTATCAAAACGGATTTCTTTTTGCACTGTTACCAGACCCCCGTCCTCACCGGGCGCACAAAAGTTGTCGTAGTATCACTTGTACGTCACCCAATTCCACTTTTCACTCGCGCTCCGCAACCGCATCTCCTCCTCTTTCCCACTCCCGCTCTCGCGCTCGTGGCTGCTTTCGCGCCCTCTTTCCCGCTCCGGGACGCTCCCACCATCTTACGCACTCACCTCATTGCAAACCCTCTTACGTCACGAGGGGAGCGAAGGGCTGTACCTTGATGCGGGCGGGAGGCTCCATAGTGTGCTCTGCGCCCGGCGACCGACATGGCAGGGCCATCACATCCGTGGTTGCCAACGTCACCCACGTTCTGGACCAACCTGCGGTGGGACGCGCACGACCAGCAGCCATCGGGAGTGGCACAGGGCAGAGGCATGGCGGTAAGCGAGCACACACGGGGAGCACGGGGGAAACATGGGACGCGGCCCACACGTACTTGCACTGTAAACCATGATGACCTCTGCACGATGTTGCTACTCTCGGCCGTCCTGTCACCGTCCATGAGCCTCTGATCCCTCTCCGACACGCGGAAACGCGCATGCCCCACCTCCACATCGCGCGCGTGTCTCGTCTGCGGAAGCCCCCCCTCCATGGCAGGTACGAAGCTCGGCGTTTGGCAATGATTGACGATGATGGCCGGGCAAGAGATGCGGGGGCACGCAAACTTGGCAATGTTAGAATTCTTATGCGCGCTGTTAACCGGGCAGTGGGTATGCAATCCGACGGTACCACAGGTAATCGCGCTGTAAGCGTCTCGACTACGAGGTGTAGGGTGAGTCCAAGGCTCCGCTGCCCTGCTCCGCACTCCCACATGAACCTGCAGCCTTGAAGAGCGTGGGGGGGGGGGGGGGGGGGAGAGGGGGGTACTACGGTACAGGGGGGAGGAAGAGAGGAACAAGGGGCCGAATCCATGTGATTGGTTGCACACATACTCGCACACTCGACCGACTGCATATGGATTCGAAGGGACGATAGTGACCACTCACCTTACCGTTGGTGCTCCCGCACGAGCGTCTTCGCTTCTCAACATGTGCCGTTGCAGCCCGTAGAACCCGAGGACGCGGCCAATACCCGTCCCTGGCGAGCACAGAGGTGGGGCGAGGGCTGAGGTGAGGCGAGGGCTGAGGTGGCGCGAGGGCCGAGGTGGCGCGAGGGCCGAGGTGGGGCGAGGGCAGAGGTGGGGCGAGGGCAGAAGCGAGGCGATAGTATGGATGACGCGAAGGCAGGGGTGGGGCGAGGACACGGGCGAGGAGAGGGAAGGAGTAAGGATATGGTAGAGGCAAGCAAGGGCAGATGCAAGACGAGGGCAGGGGTAAGGCGGGACTGACATGGGGTCGCCTCAGTGAGTGCGTTTGAGCCAATAATCGACACAAAAGCCCCCCCTGCACAGTGACTGTAACGACGGCGCCCCATTGTGCACCCCTCAACGCCGGCGCAAATGCCTAGATGCCACTTCAACGTTGCACACGACACGTTGTTCGTCCCCCACGACAGTGCAGAGGTTCCGCATGGGCTGTTGCTTAAAATGCACTCACTAAGGCGATAAATGATCATGCATAATAAGTCAATTACTAAATAGCAACGCTGAGTTGCTCCAGAAAGGTAGAGGTGCGCCTTGGACAGCACGCGGAACAGCAGGCGAAGCAAAAGAATAGTACGTGATGCAGCAGGGGAATCACCTGCTGAGGAGCATCGCACCACATACAGGAAGGGAAACTCCTACATTAGCAGGTCCAACAGGTTCACGATCAGGAAAACCATGTCAAGCACAGGAGGCAGCTCGTGGAGGCAGAACGAAGCGACTAATGTGGCGCATGGGGGAGAGACAGTTTAGAATAGCGAAGGAGGAGTTGGGAGAGGTGAAGGGGGAGTCGGGAGAGTTGAAGGGCAAGCTGGCGTACGTGAAGAAGGAGTTGGTGGGACACGAGGTCGGCATGGCAGAGAAATTGGCAAGAGGAGCGGGAGCGGAGAACAGACGAGTTCATGCTGGAAGAGGAAAAGATCCGCTCGATACATGTGGAAGAACTTTCGAAGGTACGGAATGAACACCTAATGAAGCGGGGATTTACGCGAGGGAAGGGCAGCACCTGTGGGAGTTGCACAGGAGACAGCAGCAGGAGCAGGAGGATTTTATCCCCCCTTTGCTCTCCATCTCTACCAGCCCCCACCCCCCCCCCCCCCCCCCCTTTCCTCCCTGTCACTCCCCGTACTACCAAGATTGGACGCCATGACTGTGGTGCATACCTGGAGGGCGGAGGCGACAAAAGGAGCAGCATGAAGGACTGTGGTGCATACCTGGAGGGCGGAGGCGACAAAAGGAGCAGCATGAAGGGGGGCGGAAATGCATCCATGGCAGCAGCAGCACCTCTAACACCCTCGCCATCGCCACCTGAGCCACGCCCAACACCCTCGCCTTCACAACCAGCTCCTTGCTTCTCACCCCCCACCGGTTCCGCATTGCCCTGCCACCGAACATCATAAGCAGCAGACCAACATGCATGAGCACTATGGAAAGGAAACAAACATACATTTCCCAGTCTCCCCTTTCTCCAGAGTGTAGGTTTGCACGTGTAGGTCTGCATGCCTAGCTGTGCCCCGCACTCCCACATGCACTTGTTCCTATGGGCCGTGGTGCAAGGTTCAGCACTCGCACATGCACGCGGAAGGGGAGGGGGGCGGAAGAGAGGAAAAAGGGGCTGAAATTGCTCGCTCGCAGATACACTTGTTCCTCTGCCCCGACGCCCCCGAACTGAACCCCACACTCCCATATGTGATTGTTGTCCTGTCGCGACGGAGGGGAGGGGAGAGAGTGACTGAGATTGAAAGAGGGGAGAGGGCAGCGACTAGGGGCACGAGTGGGAAGGAGGAACGCGACGTGGGCGGAATGCGGCGTGCGACGTGGGCGGAATGGGGCGTGCGACGGGGGCGGAATGGGGCGTGCGACGGGGGCGGAATGGGGCGTGCGACGGGGGCGGAATGGGGCGTGCGACGGGGGCGGAATGGGGCGTGCGACGGGGGCGGAATGGGGCGTGCGACGGGGGCGGAATGGGGCGTGCGACGGGGGCGGAATGGGGCGTGCGACGGGGGCGGAATGGGGCGTGCGACGGGGGCGGAATGGGGCGTGCGACGGGGGCGGAATGGGGCGTGCGACGGGGGCGGAATGGGGCGTGCGACGGGGGCGGAATGGGGCGTGCGACGGGGGCGGAATGGGGCGTGCGACGGGGGCGGAATGGGGCGTGCGACGGGGGCGGAATGGGGCGTGCGACGGGGGCGGAATGGGGCGTGCGACGGGGGCGGAATGGGGCGTGCGACGGGGGCGGAATGGGGTGCGTTCGACGGGGGAGAATGGGCGTGCGACGGGGGCGGAATGGGGCGTGCGACGGGGGCGGAATGGGGCGTGCGACGGGGGCGGAATGGGGCGTGCGACGGGGGCGGAATGGGGCGTGCGACGGGGGCGGAATGGGGCGTGCGACGGGGGCGGAATGGGGCGTGCGACGGGGCGGAATGGGCGTGCGACGGGGGCGGAATGGGGCGTGCGACGGGGGCGGAATGGGGCGTGCGACGGGGGCGGAATGGGGCGTGCGACGGGGGCGGAATGGGGCGTGCGACGGGGCGGAATGGGGCGTGCGACGACGGGGGCGGAATGGGGCGTGCGACGGGGGCGGAATGGGGCGTGCGACGGGGGCGGAATGGGGCCGTGCGACGGGGGGCGGAATGGGGCGTGCGACGGGGGCGGAATGGGGCGTGCGACGGGGGCGGAATGGGGCGTGCGACGGGGGCGGAATGGGGCGTGCGACGGGGGCGGAATGGGGCGTGCGACGGGGGCGGAATGGGGCGTGCGACGGGGGCGGAATGGGGCGTGCGACGGGGGCGGAATGGGGCGTGGCGACGGGGGCGGAATGGGGCTGCGACGGGGGCGGAATGGGGGCGTGCGACGGGGGCGGAATGGGGCGTGCGACGGGGGCGGAATGGGGCGTGCGACGGGGGCGGAATGGGGCGTGCGACGGGGGCGGAATGGGGCGTGCGACGGGGGCGGAATGGGGCGTGCGACGGGGGCGGAATGGGGCGTGCGACGGGGGCGGAATGGGGCGTGCGACGGGGGCGGAATGGGGCGTGCGACGGGGGCGGAATGGGGCGTGCGACGGGGGCGGAATGGGGCGGATGGGGCGTCGCGACGGGGGCGGAATGGGGCGTGCGACGGGGGCGGAATAGGGGCGTGCGGACGGGGGCGGAATGGGGGCGTGCGACGGGGGCGGAATGGGGCGTGCGACGGGGGCGGATGGGGCGTGCGACGGGGGCGGAATGGGGCGTGCGACGGGGCGAAATGGGGCGTGCGACGGGGGGCGGAATGGGGCGTGCAGACGGGGGCGGAAATGGGGCGTGCGACGGGGGGCGGAAATGGGGCGTGCGACGGGGGCCGGAATGGGGCGTGCGACGGGGGCGGAATGGGGCGTGCGACGGGGGCGGAATGGGGCGTGCGACGGGGGGCGGAATGGGCGTGCGACGGGGGGCGGAATGGGGCGTGCGACGGGGGGGCGGAATGGGGGCGTGGCGACGGGGGCGGAATGGGGCGTGCGACGGGGGCGGAATGGGGCGTGCGACTGGGGCGGAATGGGGCGTGCGACGGGGGCGGGAATGGGGCGTGCGACGGGGGCGGAATGGGCGTGCGCGGGGGCGGAATGGGGCCGTGCCGACGGGGGGCGGCAATGGGGCGTGCGACGGGGGCGGAATGGGGCGTGCGACGGGGGCGGAATGGGCGGAATGGGGCGTGCGACGGGGGCGGAATGGGGCGTGCGACGGGGGCGGAATGGGGCGGTGCGACGGGGGCGGAATGGAATGGGGCGTGCGACGGGGGCGGAATGGGGCGTGCGACGGGGGCGGAATGGGGCGTGCGACGGGGGCGGAATGGGGCGTGCGACGGGGGCGGAATGGGGCGTGCGACGGGGGCGGAATGGGGCGTGCGACGGGGGCGGAATGGGGCGTGCGACGGGGGCGGAATGGGGCGTGCGACGGGGGCGGAATGGGGCGTGCGACGGGGGCGGAATGGGGCGTGCGACGGGGGCGGAATGGGGCGTGCGACGGGGGCGGAATGGGGCGTGCGACGGGGGCGGAATGGGGCGTGCGACGGGGGCGGAATGGGGCGTGCGACGGGGGCGGAATGGGGCGTGCGACGGGGGCGGAATGGGGCGTGCGACGGGGGCGGAATGGGGCGTGCGACGGGGGCGGAATGGGGCGTGCGACGGGGGCGGAATGGGGCGTGCGACGGGGGCGGAATGGGGCGTGCGACGGGGGCGGAATGGGGCGTGCGACGGGGGCGGAATGGGGCGTGCGACGGGGGCGGAATGGGGCGTGCGACGGGGGCGGAATGGGGCGTGCGACGGGGGCGGAATGGGGCGTGCGACGGGGGCGGAATGGGGCGTGCGACGGGGGCGGAATGGGGCGTGCGACGGGGGCGGAATGGGGCGTGCGACGGGGGCGGAATGGGGCGTGCGACGGGGGCGGAATGGGGCGTGCGACGGGGGCGGAATGGGGCGTGCGACGGGGGCGGAATGGGGCGTGCGACGGGGGCGGAATGGGGCGTGCGACGGGGGCGGAATGGGGCGTGCGACGGGGGCGGAATGGGGCGTGCGACGGGGGCGGAATGGGGCGTGCGACGGGGGCGGAATGGGGCGTGCGACGGGGGCGGAATGGGGCGTGCGACGGGGGCGGAATGGGGCGTGCGACGGGGGCGGAATGGGGCGTGCGACGGGGGCGGAATGGGGCGTGCGACGGGGGCGGAATGGGGCGTGCGACGGGGGCGGAATGGGGCGTGCGACGGGGGCGGAATGGGGCGTGCGACGGGGGCGGAATGGGGCGTGCGACGGGGGCGGAATGGGGCGTGCGACGGGGGCGGAATGGGGCGTGCGACGGGGGCGGAATGGGGCGTGCGACGGGGGCGGAATGGGGCGTGCGACGGGGGCGGAATGGGGCGTGCGACGGGGGCGGAATGGGGGCGTGCGACGGGGGCGGAATGGGGCGTGCGACGGGGGCGGAATGGGGCGTGCGACGGGGGGCGGAATGGGGCGTGCGACGGGGGCGGAATGGGGCGTGCGACGGGGGCGGAATGGGGCGTGCGACGGGGGCGGAATGGGGCGTGCGACGGGGGCGGAATGGGGCGTGCGACGGGGGCGGAATGGGGCGTGCGACGGGGGCGGAATGGGGCGTGCGCGGGGGCGGAATGGGGCGTGCCGGGGCGGAATGGGGCGTGCGACGGGGGCGGAATGGGGCGTGCGACGGGGGCGGAATGGGGCGTGCGACGGGGGCGGAATGGGGGCGTGCGACGGGGGCGGAATGGGGCGGCGACGGGGGCGGAATGGGGCGTGCGACGGGGGCGGAATGGGGCGTGCGACGGGGGCGGAATGGGGCGTGCGACGGGGGCGGAATGGGGCGTGCGACGGGGGCGGAATGGGGCGTGCGACGGGGGCGGAATGGGGCGTGCGACGGGGGCGGAATGGGGCGTGCGACGGGGGCGGAATGGGGCGTGCGACGGGGGCGGAATGGGGCGTGCGACGGGGGCGGAATGGGGCGTGCGACGGGGGCGGAATGGGGCGTGCGACGGGGGCGGAATGGGGCGTGCGACGGGGGCGGAATGGGGCGTGCGACGGGGGCGGAATGGGGCGTGCGACGGGGGCGGAATGGGGCGTGCGACGGGGGCGGAATGGGGCGTGCGACGGGGGCGGAATGGGGCGTGCGACGGGGGCGGAATGGGGCGTGCGACGGGGGCGGAATGGGGCGTGCGACGGGGGCGGAATGGGGCGTGCGACGGGGGGCGGAATGGGGCGTGCGACGGGGGCGGAATGGGGCGTGCGACGGGGGCGGAATGGGGCGTGCGACGGGGGCGGAATGGGGCGTGCGACGGGGGCGGAATGGGGCGTGCGACGGGGGCGGAATGGGGCGTGCGACGGGGGCGGAATGGGGCGTGCGACGGGGGCGGAATGGGGCGTGCGACGGGGGCGGAATGGGGCGTGCGACGGGGGCGGAATGGGGCGTGCGACGGGGGCGGAATGGGGCGTGCGACGGGGGCGGAATGGGGCGTGCGACGGGGCGGAATGGGGCGTGCGACGGGGCGGAATGGGGCGTGCGACGGGGGCGGAATGGGGCGTGCGACGGGGGCGGAATGGGGCGTGCGACGGGGGCGGAATGGGGCGTGCGACGGGGGCGGAATGGGGCGTGCGACGGGGGCGGAATGGGGCGTGGCGACGGGGGCGGAATGGGGCGTGCGACGGGGGCGGAATGGGGCGTGCGACGGGGGCGGAATGGGGCGTGCGACGGGGGCGGAATGGGGGCGTGCGACGGGGGCGGAATGGGGCGTGCGACGGGGGCGGAATGGGGCGTGCGACGGGGGCGGAATGGGCGTGCGACGGGGGCGGAATGGGGCGTGCGACGGGGGCGGAATGGGGCGTGCGACGGGGGCGGAATGGGGCGTGCGACGGGGGCGGAATGGGGGCGTGCGACGGGGGCGGAATGGGGCGTGCGACGGGGGCGGAATGGGGCGTGCGACGGGGGCGGAATGGGGCGTGCGACGGGGGCGGAATGGGGCGTGCGACGGGGGCGGAATGGGGCGTGCGACGGGGGCGGAATGGGGCGTGCGACGGGGGCGGAATGGGGCGTGCGACGGGGGCGGAATGGGGCGTGCGACGGGGGCGGAATGGGGCGTGCGACGGGGGCGGAATGGGGCGTGCGACGGGGGCGGAATGGGGCGTGCGACGGGGGCGGAATGGGGCGTGCGACGGGGGGCGGAATGGGGCGTGCGACGGGGGCGGAATGGGGCGTGCGACGGGGGCGGAATGGGGCGTGCGACGGGGGCGGAATGGGGCGTGCGACGGGGGCGGAATGGGGCGTGCGACGGGGGCGGAATGGGGCGTGCGACGGGGGCGGAATGGGGCGACGGGGGCGGAATGGGGGCGTGCGACGGGGGCGGAATGGGGCGTGCGACGGGGGCGGAATGGGGCGTGCGACGGGGGCGGAATGGGGCGTGCGACGGGGGCGGAATGGGGCGTGCGACGGGGGCGGAATGGGGCGTGCGACGGGGGCGGAATGGGGCGTGCGACGGGGGCGGAATGGGGCGTGCGACGGGGGCGGAATGGGGCGTGCGACGGGGGCGGAATGGGGCGTGCGACGGGGGCGGAATGGGGCGTGCGACGGGGGCGGAATGGGGCGTGCGACGGGGGCGGAATGGGGCGTGCGACGGGGGCGGAATGGGGCGTGCGACGGGGGCGGAATGGGGCGTGCGACGGGGGCGGAATGGGGCGTGCGACGGGGGCGGAATGGGGCGTGCGACGGGGGCGGAATGGGGCGTGCGACGGGGGCGGAATGGGGCGTGCGACGGGGGCGGAATGGGGCGTGCGACGGGGGCGGAATGGGGCGTGCGACGGGGGCGGAATGGGGCGTGCGACGGGGGCGGAATGGGGCGTGCGACGGGGGCGGAATGGGGCGTGCGACGGGGGGCGGAATGGGGCGTGCGACGGGGGCGGAATGGGGCGTGCGACGGGGGCGGAATGGGGCGTGCGACGGGGGCGGAATGGGGCGTGCGACGGGGGCGGAATGGGGCGTGCGACGGGGGCGGAATGGGGCGTGCGACGGGGGCGGAATGGGGCGTGCGACGGGGGCGGAATGGGGCGTGCGACGGGGGGCGGAATGGGGCGTGCGACGGGGGCGGAATGGGGCGTGCGACGGGGGCGGAATGGGGCGTGCGACGGGGGCGGAATGGGGCGTGCGACGGGGGCGGAATGGGGCGTGCGACGGGGGCGGAATGGGGCGTGCGACGGGGGCGGAATGGGGCGTGCGACGGGGGCGGAATGGGGCGTGCGACGGGGGCGGAATGGGGCGTGCGACGGGGGCGGAATGGGGCGTGCGACGGGGGCGGAATGGGGCGTGCGACGGGGGCGGAATGGGGCGTGCGACGGGGGCGGAATGGGGCGTGCGACGGGGGCGGAATGGGGCGTGCGACGGGGGCGGAATGGGGCGTGCGACGGGGGCGGAATGGGGCGTGCGACGGGGGCGGAATGGGGCGTGCGACGGGGGCGGAATGGGGGCGTGCGACGGGGGCGGAATGGGGCGTGCGACGGGGGCGGAATGGGGCGTGCGACGGGGGCGGAAATGGGGCGTGCGACGGGGGCGGAATGGGGCGTGCGACGGGGGCGGAATGGGGCGTGCGACGGGGGGCGGAATGGGGCGTGCGACGGGGGCGGAATGGGGCGTGCGACGGGGGCGGAATGGGGCGTGCGACGGGGGCGGAATGGGGCGTGCGACGGGGGCGGAATGGGGCGTGCGACGGGGGCGGAATGGGGCGTGCGACGGGGGCGGAATGGGGCGTGCGACGGGGGCGGAATGGGGCGTGCGACGGGGGCGGAATGGGGCGTGCGACGGGGGCGGAATGGGGCGTGCGACGGGGGCGGAATGGGGCGTGCGACGGGGGCGGAATGGGGCGTGCGACGGGGGCGGAATGGGGCGTGCGACGGGGGCGGAATGGGGCGTGCGACGGGGGCGGAATGGGGCGTGCGACGGGGGCGGAATGGGGCGTGCGACGGGGGCGGAATGGGGCGTGCGACGGGGGCGGAATGGGGCGTGCGACGGGGGCGGAATGGGGCGTGCGACGGGGGCGGAATGGGGCGTGCGACGGGGGCGGAATGGGGCGTGCGACGGGGGCGGAATGGGGCGTGCGACGGGGGCGGAATGGGGCGTGCGACGGGGGCGGAATGGGGCGTGCGACGGGGGCGGAATGGGGCGTGCGACGGGGGCGGAATGGGGCGTGCGACGGGGGCGGAATGGGGCGTGCGACGGGGGCGGAATGGGGCGTGCGACGGGGGCGGAATGGGGCGTGCGACGGGGGCGGAATGGGGCGTGCGACGGGGGCGGAATGGGGCGTGCGACGGGGGCGGAATGGGGCGTGCGACGGGGGCGGAATGGGGGCGTGCGACGGGGGCGGAATGGGGCGTGCGACGGGGGCGGAATGGGGCGTGCGACGGGGGCGGAATGGGGCGTGCGACGGGGGCGGAATGGGGCGTGCGACGGGGGCGGAATGGGGCGTGCGACGGGGGCGGAATGGGGGCGTGCGACGGGGGCGGAATGGGGCGTGCGACGGGGGCGGAATGGGGCGTGCGACGGGGGCGGAATGGGGCGTGCGACGGGGGCGGAATGGGGCGTGCGACGGGGGCGGAAATGGGGCGTGCGACGGGGGCGGAATGGGGCGTGCGACGGGGGCGGAATGGGGCGTGCGACGGGGGCGGAATGGGGCGTGCGACGGGGGCGGAATGGGGCGTGCGACGGGGGCGGAATGGGGCGTGCGACGGGGGCGGAATGGGGCGTGCGACGGGGGCGGAATGGGGCGTGCGACGGGGGCGGAATGGGGCGTGCGACGGGGGCGGAATGGGGCGTGCGACGGGGGCGGAATGGGGCGTGCGACGGGGGCGGAATGGGGCGTGCGACGGGGGCGGAATGGGCGTGCGACGGGGGCGGAATGGGGCGTGCGACGGGGGCGGAATGGGGCGTGCGACGGGGGCGGAATGGGGCGTGCGACGGGGGCGGAATGGGGCGTGCGACGGGGGCGGAATGGGGCGTGCGACGGGGGCGGAATGGGGCGTGCGACGGGGGCGGAATGGGGCGTGCGACGGGGGCGGAATGGGGCGTGCGACGGGGGCGGAATGGGGCGTGCGACGGGGGCGGAATGGGGCGTGCGACGGGGGCGGAATGGGGCGTGCGACGGGGGCGGAATGGGGCGTGCGACGGGGGCGGAATGGGGCGTGCGACGGGGGCGGAATGGGGCGTGCGACGGGGGCGGAATGGGGCGTGCGACGGGGGCGGAATGGGGCGTGCGACGGGGGCGGAATGGGGCGTGCGACGGGGGCGGAATGGGGCGTGCGACGGGGGCGGAATGGGGCGTGCGACGGGGGCGGAATGGGGCGTGCGACGGGGGCGGAATGGGGCGTGCGACGGGGGCGGAATGGGGCGTGCGACGGGGGCGGAATGGGGCGTGCGACGGGGGCGGAATGGGGCGTGCGACGGGGGGCGGAATGGGGGCGTGCGACGGGGGCGGAATGGGGCGTGCGACGGGGGCGGAATGGGGCGTGCGACGGGGGCGGAATGGGGCGTGCGACGGGGGGGCGGAATGGGGCGTGCCGAACGGGGGCGGAATGGGGCGTGCGACGGGGGCGGAATGGGGCGTGCGACGCGGGCGGAATGGGGCGTGCGACGCGGGCGGAATGGGGCGTGCGACGGGGGCGGAATGGGGCGTGCGACGGGGGGCGGAATGGGGCGTGCGACGGGGGCGGAATGGGGCCGTCGCGACGGGGCGGAATGGGGCGTGCGACGGGGGCGGAATGGGGCGTGCGACGCGGGCGGAATGGGGCGTGCGACGGGGGCGGAATGGGGCGTGCGACGCGGGCGGAATGGGGCGTGCGACGGGGGCGGAATGGGGCGTGCGACGGGGGCGGAATGGGGCGTGCGACGGGGGCGGAATGGGGCGTGCGACGGGGGCGGAATGGGGCGTGCGACGCGGGCGGAATGGGGCGTGCGACGGGGGCGGAATGGGGCGTGCGACGCGGGCGGAATGGGGCGTGCGACGCGGGGCGGAATGGGGCGTGCGACGCGGGCGGAATGGGGCGTGCGACGCGGGCGGAATGGGGCGTGCGACGCGGGCGGAATGGGGCGTGCGACGCGGGCGGAATGGGGCGTGCGACGCGGGCGGAATGGGGCGTGCGACGCGGGCGGAATGGGGCGTGCGACGCGGGCGGAATGGGGCGTGCGACGGGGGCGGAATGGGGCGTGCGACGCGGGGCGGAATGGGGCGTGCGACGGCGGGCGGAATGGGGCGTGCGACGGGGGCGGAATGGGGCGTGCGACGGGGGCGGAATGGGGCGTGCGACGCGGGCGGAATGGGGCGTGCGACGCGGGGCGGAATGGGGCGTGCGACGCGGGGCGGAATGGGGCGACCCGGGCGGAATGGGCGTGCGACGCGGGCGGAATGGGGCGTGCGACGCGGGCGGAATGGTGCGTGCGACGCGGGCGGAATGGGGCGTGCGACGGGGGCGGAATGGGGCGTGCGACGCGGGGCGGAATGGGGCGTGCGACGGGGGCGGAATGGGGCGTGCGACGCGGGCGGAATGGGGCGTGCGACGCGGGGCGGAATGGGGCGTGCGACGCGGGGCGGAATGGGGCGTGCGACGCGGCGCGGAATGGGGCGTGCGACGCGGGCGGAATGGGGCGTGCGACGCGGGCGGAATGGGGCGTGCGACGCGGGCGGAATGGGGCTGTGCGACGCGGGCGGAAATGGGCGTGCGACGCGGGCGGGAATGGGGCGTGCGACGCGGGCGGAATGGGGCGTGCGACGCGGGCGGAATGGGGCGTGCGACGCGGGGCGGAATGGGGCGTGCGACGCGGGCGGAATGGGGCGTGCGACGGGGGCGGAATGGGGCGTGCGACGGGGGCGGAATGGGGCGTGCGACGGGGGCGGAATGGGGCGTGCGACGGGGGCGGAATGGGGCGTGCGACGCGGAGCGGAATGGGGCGTGCGACGCGGGCGGAATGGGGCGTGCGACGCGGGCGGAATGGGGCGTGCGACGCGGGCGGAATGGGGCGTGCGACGCGGGCGGAATGGGGCGTGCGACGCGGGCGGAATGGGGCGTGCGACGCGGGCGGAATGGGGCGTGCGACGCGGGCGGAATGGGGCGTGCGACGCGGGCGGAATGGGGCGTGCGACTGCGGGCGGAATGGGGCGTGCGACGGGGGCGGAATGGGGCGTGCGACGCGGGCGGAATGGGGCGTGCGACGCGGGGCGGAATGGGGCGTGCGACGCGGGCGGAATGGGGCGTGCGACGGGGGCGGAATGGGGCGTGCGACGCGGGCGGAATGGGGCGTGCGACGCGGGCGGAATGGGGCGTGCGACGCGGGCGGAATGGGGCGTGCGACGCGGGCGGAATGGGGCGTGCGACGCGGGCGGAATGGGGCGTGCGACGCGGGCGGAATGGGGCGTGCGACGCGGGCGGAATGGGGCGTGCGACGCGGGCGGAATGGGGCGTGCGACGCGGGCGGAATGGGGCGTGCGACGCGGGCGGAATGGGGCGTGCGACGCGGGCGGAATGGGGCGTGCGGACGCGGGCGGAATGGGGCGTGCGACGCGGGCGGAATGGGGCGTGCGACGCGGGGCGGAATGGGGCCGTGCGACGCGGGCGGAATGGGGCGTGCGACGCGGGCGGAATGGGGCGTGTCGACGCGGGCGGAATGGGGCGTGCGACGCGGGCGGAATGGGGCGTGCGACGCGGGGCGGAATGGGGCGTGCGACGCGGGGCGGAATGGGGCGTGCGACGCGGGCGGAATGGGGCGTGCGACGCGGAGCGGAATGGGGGCTGGCGACGCGGGCGGAATGGGGCGTGCGACGCGGGCGGAATGGGGCGTGCGACGCGGGCGGAATGGGGCGTGCGACGCGGGCGGAATGGGGCGTGCGACGCGGGCGGAATGGGGCGTGCGACGCGGGCGGAATGGGGCGTGCGACGCGGGCGGAATGGGGCGTGCGACGCGGGCGGAATGGGGCGTGCGACGCGGGCGGAATGGGGCGTGCGACGCGGGCGGAATGGGGCGTGCGACGCGGGCGGAATGGGGCGTGCGACGCGGGCGGAATGGGGCGTGCGACGCGGGCGGAATGGGGCGTGCGACGCGGCGGAATGGGGCGTGCGACGCGGGCGGAATGGGGCGTGCGACGCGGGCGGAATGGGGCGTGCGACGCGGGCGGAATGGGGCGTGCGACGCGGGCGGAATGGGGCGTGCGACGCGGGCGGAATGGGGCGTGCGACGCGGGCGGAATGGGGCGTGCGAGCCGGGCGGAATGGGGCGTGCGACGCGGGCGGAATGGGGCGTGCGACGCGGGGCGGAATGGGGCGTGCGACGCGGGCGGAATGGGGCGTGCGACGCGGGCGGAATGGGGCGTGCGACGCGGGCGGAATGGGGCGTGCGACGCGGGCGGAATGGGGCGTGCGACGCGGGCGGAATGGGGCGTGCGACGCGGGCGGAATGGGGCGTGCGACGCGGGCGGAATGGGGCGTGCGACGCGGGCGGAATGGGGCGTGCGACGCGGGCGGAATGGGGCGTGCGACGCGGGCGGAATGGGGCGTGCGACGCGGGCGGAATGGGGCGTGCGACGCGGGCGGAATGGGGCGTGCGACGCGGGCGGAATGGGGCGTGCGACGCGGGCGGAATGGGGCGTGCGACGCGGGCGGAATGGGGCGTGCGACGCGGGCGGAATGGGGCGTGCGACGCGGGCGGAATGGGGCGTGCGACGCGGGCGGAATGGGGCGTGCGACGCGGGCGGAATGGGGCGTGCGACGCGGGCGGAATGGGGCGTGCGACGCGGGCGGAATGGGGCGTGCGACGCGGGCGGAATGGGGCGTGCGACGCGGGCGGAATGGGGCGTGCGACGCGGGCGGAATGGGGCGTGCGACGCGGGCGGAATGGGGCGTGCGACGCGGGCGGAATGGGGCGTGCGACGCGGGCGGAATGGGGCGTGCGACGCGGGCGGAATGGGGCGTGCGACGCGGGCGGAATGGGGCGTGCGACGCGGGCGGAATGGGGCGTGCGACGCGGGCGGAATGGGGCGTGCGACGCGGGCGGAATGGGGCGTGCGACGCGGGCGGAATGGGGCGTGCGACGCGGGCGGAATGGGGCGTGCGACGCGGGCGAATGGGGCGTGCGACGCGGGCGGAATGGGCGTGCGACGCGGGCGGAATGGGGCGTGCGACGCGGGCGGAATGGGGCGTGCGACGCGGGCGGAATGGGGCGTGCGACGCGGGCGGAATGGGGCCGTGGCGACGCGGGCGGAATGGGGCGTGCGACGCGGGCGGAATGGGGCGTGCGACGCGGGCGGAATGGGGCGTGCGACGCGGGCGGAATGTCGGGCTGTGCGACGCGGGCGGAAGTGGGGCGTGCGACTGCGGGCGGAATGGGCGTGCGACGCGGGCTGAATGGGGCTGCGACCGGCGGAATGGGCCCGGGCGGAATGGGGCGTGCGACGCGGGCGGAATGGGGCTGGCGACGCGGGCGGAATGGGGCGTGCGACGCGGGCGGAATGGGGCGTGCGACGCGGGCGGAATGGGGCGTTCGTGATACGGCGACCGCGGGCGGAATGGGGCGTGCGACGCGGGCGGAATGGGGCGTGCGACGCGGGCGGAATGGGGCGTGCGACGGCGGGCGGAATGGGGCGTGCGACGCGGGCGGAATGGGGCGTGCGACGCGGGCGGAATGGGGCGTGCGACGCGGGCGGAATGGGGCGTGCGACGCGGGCCGGAATGGGGCGTGCGACGCGGGCGGAATGGGGCGTGCGACGCCGGGCGGAATGGGGCGTTGCGACGCGGGCGGAATGGGGCGTGCGACGCGGGCGGAATGGGGCGTGGCGACGCGGGCGGAATGGGGCGTGCGACGCGTGCGGAATGGGGCGTGCGACGCGGGCGGAATGGGGCGTGCGACGCGGGCGGAATGGGGCGTGCGACCGCGGGCGGAATGGGGCGTGCGTACGCCGGGCGGAATGGGGCGTGCGACGCGGGCGGAATGGGGCGTGCGACACCGGCGGAGCGCACCGTTCGACTCCAGCGGAATGGGGCGTGCGACGCGGGCGGAATGGGCGTGCGACGCGGGCGGAATGGGGCGTGCGACGCGGGCGGAATGGGGCGTGCGACGCGGGCGGAATGGGGCGTGCGACGCGGGCGGAATGGGGCGTGCGAACGCGGGCGGAATGGGGCGTGCGACGCGGGCGGAATGGGGCGTGCGACGCGGGCGGAATGGGGCGTGCGACGCGGCGGAATGGGGCGTGCGACGCGGGCGGAATGGGGCGTGCGACGCGGGCGGAATGGGGCGTGCGACGCGGGCGGAATGGGGCGTGCGACGCGGGCGGAATGGGGCGTGCGACGCGGGCGGAATGGGGCGTGGCGACGCGGGCGGAATGGGGCGTGCGACGCGGGCGGAATGGGGCGTGCGACGCGGGCGGAATGGGGCGTGCGACGCGGGCGGAATGGGGCGTGCGACGCGGGCGAAATGAGGAGTGCGACGTGGTCGAATGGGGCGTGGTTCTTAGGCGGAATGCGGTAAGCAACGTTGCCGGAATGGGGTTTGCGACTTCAACGGAATGAAGCGTGCCCGTGGGCGGAACGGGGGTGAGTAACCGGGAAAATGACAAGGCGACGTGGCGGCGTTGAGTCGGCCCGCCCCATGCGCGCGATGCGGCGTGGGTTGCGGCTTAGCGGGGAGCCGTGTCAGCTTACGACAATGTGGCGAATGGTGCGAGGAGTTCCGGAAGCAACCGCCGTGAGCAGACTGCATGGCGACGAGACGGCGACGCGGCCGCGCGCTAGCGAACGAAAGTAAGGCGAACTGTGTACAGCAACAAGTTCCTAGATCGAGTGGCAGAAATACTTATGTTGTGCAGGAACGATGCGGATGTTCCTCTTCCGCCATGCGCTGCTACTCCCCCCTCGTTCCGCCAAATGTTCCCCCAACCCTGCACCCTGGTAAAGTAGGCTGTGTTCCCCCCTAATGCTTTTCCGGAATGGTTTGCAGCCAGAATTTGGATGCAGAATTATTTTGAGGGTGTAACGAACTAGAATTTATAATGTAGAAGCTGCTCCTTGCAAGGACAGCCCCGAGCTCTTCGCATCGATGTCTGAGTCGGCCTAAACTTCGGCCCGAACCACTGCCGAGTCAAACGCGTCTACATCCGAACACGCACGTCCCGAGGTCCGCGCCTAGCATGTATTCGGCCTACAAATGCATGCTTTATTCATTGTCTCGTGAGTCTGCAATTCATCCTCGTTACGAAGTCATCCTCTTGATATCGTGAAACCCTCAAGTTACGAGCTCTGTTATGAATGAACCTGCAGAGTGGGCGGAATAACGGACAACGAAAATAATGAAACACGAAACGACAATACAATGAAAGTGAAGAGACCTATATATGGGGAATCTTATCTAGACGGAGGGGCGACTGGGGCACACCCGTACGAACAGTTCGCCGTTGAATAGGAGGCGAATAGTTTAGCGTTCGGATATGCGCGTTTTGGGTGCACTGCGTTAGGGTCTTACGCTCTTCATGTGGCGTTTGTAATAGATGTTCCACTCCATGAGATCTTCTAGGAGCTCCTCACGCCACCAATCGGCACTGCCGTGGAGGTCAATATGCTCAGGGTCTCGAAAGCGCGAGAGCACCAGGTACTGCATATACTTCATCACAAACACGCCGCAATTGAAATCGTCCGTTTGCTGTGTTGCCTGCAACAGGAGGGAGTGGGGCGATGTGAACAGGGTAGGATTGCGCGGCCAAAGAACGGATACGCAAGCAGACCGTCACTGCGAACCCCTCACCCGCCTGGACCTGGACGGACGGCACGCGGGCAATCCTGTCTCTTGCCTCCTCCTCAAACACGCCTGGCTGCAACTCTCCCAGCTGCCGCTGCAGGTACCTGCCAGTGCACCTCCACTTGCTCGAGTGATGGTTTGAAATCACAGGGTTGCTCGAGGCAGGGAAGGGGAGCTCGGGGATGGGTGCTTACCGCCGCAACGGCGCTTCGAACTCTATGTGCATGGACAAGGAGTCGACATGTAGGACGCGGGTGGGGCGGCGTGGCAGCGTCGGCGAACGGTCGTTGTCAAGGATGATCAAGGTCCAATGATTTCTGCGAGTCCCGCCGGGTTTTCGTCAGCGAACGCACAACAGCTTAGGGCACAGCGTGTAGAGACGGGTCGCAGGGACCCACCCAAGTGTTCGATACCCAACTTACTCTTTGTGCAGCGGGATGAAAACCCATCTGAACAACAGCATGTTCTCATGCGCAAGGACCGGGTATTCTCCTGGTCCACGAGGTCTTGCGATTATAGGGTAAGTTAAGGTGGTGCAGTACAGTCACGAAAAGTCTTCATATTTGTTTACGTACTGAAGCATCCTGAACACCACCACAAGGAACGAGGGCATGCAAGGTCAGTACGGGCAGCGAGCATAAATTCTGATGCGCTGCAATTAGGGCACTTCCAGTCCGAACCACTCGATGACTTCTCCAGACACCCATCTCCCCGGTCGCAGAGTGTCCACTTGGCCCCTAGTAAGCTCAAGCCATGAATCCCATGGGGATACGGCATCTCGAGTTCCGTGGAGTTTTCCGCCCGAGTCTCGCTGTGGGAGTGCTCGTCTGCCTCGAGCGCCATGCGCAGTAACGGGGGTTGCTTGAGTCGAGTGTATCGCGTACGTGAAGCGAGAGATGTGGCTAGAAACCGACCGACGTTAGAAAGCGGATGCTTAGAGGTTCGCGCTGCTTGTTCTCGATCGCGCAAGGCTCAGGAGACCGGCAAGCCTGCGTGCAACACCATTAGAGCTGCGTTTGAGGGTCGACTGGCATGGCACGGGAATCGCAAAGCCGCCGGGATGAGGTAACCCCAATAAATGGTCTCGCCAGGATTCGGACACATCAGGATGTAGCTTGGTCTGCACTCGGGTTGGGGACTATCCCAACAGTTTTGAAGAATCTACTGGCACGCTACCGGTCCGACGACCTCCGCGCTGAAGATCCACGGATGCCGCTGTATTGCTCCCGATCTACGCTGTTCCTCTGTCGCTAGCTCGTCGTGCTCCCAAGAACATCACGACGGGCGAAAATAGGTCGAAGAGCGGGCGTGCGGGGAGTATGAAGAGTATGAAGAGTCGCTAGCCCGTCGCCTTCGCGCCCGCGCCCGCGCCCGCCCCGTCGCCTCCCGCGCCGCGCCCGCGCCCGCGCCCGCGCCCGCGCCCGCCCGTCGCCTCCGCGCCCGCGCCCGCGCCCGCGCCCGCGCCCGCCCGTCGCCTCCGCGCCCGCGCCCGCGCCCGCGCCCGCGCCCGCCCGTCGCCTCCGCGCCCGCGCCCGCGCTCAGCGCCCGCGCCCCGCCCGTCGCCTCCGCGCCCGCGCCCGCGCCCTCGCGCCCGCCCCCCGTCGCCTCCGCGCCCGCGCCCGCGCCGCGCCGCCCGTCGCCTCCGCGCCCGCGCCCGCGCCCGCGCCCCGCCCGTCGCCTCCGCGCCCGCGCCCGCGCCCGCGCCCGCGCCCGCCCGTCGCCTCCGCGCCCGCGCCCCGCGCCCGCGCCTCGCGCTCCGCCCGTCGCCTCGCGCCCGCGCCCGCCCGTCGCCCTCCGCGCCCGCCGCCGCGCCCGCGCCCGCGCCCCCCGCGCCTCCGCGCCCGCGCCCGCCCGTCGCCCGCGCCGCGCCCGCGCCGTCGCGCCCGCGCCCGCCCGTCGCCTCCGCGCCCGCGCCCGCGCCCGTCGCCCGCGGCCCGCCCGTCTCCTCCGCGCCCAGCGCCCGCGCCCGCGCCGCGCCCGCCCGTCGCCTCCGCGCCCGCGCCCGCGCCCGCAGCCCGCGCCCGCCCGTCCCGCCTCGCCTCCGCGCCCGCGCCCGCGCCGCGCCCGCGCCCCGCGCCGCCCGTCGCCTCCGCGCCCGCGCCCGCGCCGCGCCCGCGCCGCCCGTCGCCTCCGCGCCCGCGCCCGCGCCCGCGCTCCGCGCCTGCGCCCGCCCGTCGCCTCCGGCCGCCCCCGCGCCCGCGCCCGCCCCGTCGCCTCCGCGGCCCGCGCCCGCGCCCGCGGCCCGCGCCCGCCCGTCGCCCTCCGCGCCCGCGCCCGCGCCCGCCCGTCGCCTCCGCGCCCGCGCCCGCGCCCCGCGCCCGCGCCCCGCCCGTCGCCTCCGCGCCCGCGCCCCGCGCCCGCGCCCGCGCCCCGCCCGTCGCCTCGCGCCCGCGCCTCGCGGCCCCGCCCGTCGCTCCGCGCCCGCGCCCGCGCCGGCCCGCGCCCGCGGTCGCCTCGCGCCCGCGCCCGCGCCCCGCCCCGTCGCCTCCCGTCGCCCCGCGCCCGCGCCCGCCCGTCGCCTCCGCGCCCGCGCCCGCGCCCGCGCCCGCCCGTCGCCTCCGCGCCCGCGCCCGCGCCCGCGCCCGCGCCCGCCCGTCGCCTCCGCGCCCGCGCCCGCGCCCGCGCCCGCCCGTCGCCTCCGCGCCCGCGCCCGCGCCCGCGCCCGCCCGTCGCCTCCGCGCCCGCGCCCGCGCCCGCGCCCGCGCCCGCCCGTCGCCTCCGCGCCCGCGCCCGCGCCCGCCCGTCGCCTCCGCGCCCGCGCCCGCGCCCGCGCCCGCGCCCGCCCGTCGCCTCCGCGCCCGCGCCCGCGCCCGCGCCCGCGCCCGCCCGTCGCCTCCGCGCCCGCGCCCGCGCCCGCCCGTCGCCTCCGCGCCAGCGCCCGCGCCCGCCCGTCGCCTCCGCGCCCGCGCCCGCGCCCGCGCCCGCCCGTCGCCTCCGCGCCCGCGCCCGCGCCCGCGCCCGCGCCCGCGCCCGCCCGTCGCCTCCGCGCCCGCGCCCGCGCCCGCGCCCGCGCCCGCCCGCCTCGCGCCCGCGCCCGCGCCCGCGCCCGCGCCCGCGCCCGCCCGTCGCCTCCGCGCCCGCGCCCGCGCCCGCGCCCGCGCCCGCCCGTCGCCTCCGCGCCCGCGCCCGCGCCCGCGCCCGCGCCCGCCCGTCGCCTCCGCGCCCGCGCCCGCGCCCGCGCCCGCGGCCCGCCCGTCGCCTCCGCGCCCGCGCCCGCGCCCGCGCCCGCGCCCGCCCGTCGCCTCCGCGCCCGCGCCCGCGCCCGCGCCCGCGCCCGCCCGTCGCCTCCGCGCCCGCGCCCGCGCCCGCGCCCGCGCCCGCCCGTCGCCTCCGCGCCCGCGCCCGCGCCCGCGCCCGCGCCCGCCCGTCGCCTCCGCGCCCGCGCCCGCGCCCGCGCCCGCCGCCCGCCCGTCGCCTCCGCGGCCCGCCGCCCGCGCCCGCGCCCGCGCCCGCCCGTCGCCTCCGCGCCCGCGCCCGCGCCCGCGCCCGCGCCCGCCCGTCGCCTCCGCGCCCGCGCCCGCGCCCGCGCCCGCGCCCGCCCGTCGCCTCCGCGCCCGCGCCCGCGCCCGCGCCCGCCCGTCGCCTCCGCGCCCGCGCCCGCGCCCGCGCCCGCGCCCGCCCGTCGCCTCCGCGCCCGCGCCCGCGCCCGCGCCCGCGCCCGCCCGTCGCCTCCGCGCCCGCGCCCGC